AAAGTATGTTACAGAGAAAAACAAAGAAAGAGAGAGAAAAAAAATAAGTGACCGTAACTAAATGCCTAAATCCCCAGAGCTCACGGGGCTCCGCCCCCGACCCCAACAAGGGCCCTAAGGCGGTCCCCTGGATGCTCACTTGACCGTAATTAAATACCTTAAAAACCCGAGCTTCCGGGGGGCTCTGCCCCCTAGAACCCACCATGGGCCCGTAAAGCGGGGCTCCTGGTTGCTCATCTGACCGTAGTTAAATATTGAAACCTCTGAGCTTCTGGGGGCTATGTACCCTGGACCACATCATTGGCCTTAAAGAGGGCTCCTGGATGCTCATCTAACCGTAATTAAATACCTAAAACCCCTGAGCTTCCGGGGGCTCTGCTCCCTGGACTCTCCGCCAATTAGTGACCTGCCAGTGTCACAAATAAGGTATCTAAATATGCTTATCTGACCGTAATTTAACGCCTAAAAGCCCTGAGCTTTATCAGCCCCTTGACCCCCTGCCGAGGCTCAGGCCCTGGACCCCAAGCCAATTTACGCTCTACCTGATCGTTAATACTCCACTTTAAAAAAACGTTCCGCGGGGCCTGCATTTAACGTGTAAGAGTGGTGGTGATGCAGATTTCTCTTCTGCCCCCTTCCAAAGGTGTTTGCTCATTACGTCACTGCCCCTGGAAGGTGAGTCCCCTGGAATGTTTGCCCCCCCCCCCCCCTCCTCCTCATCCCAAACTGTTTCCGGCGGAATATGGAAAGAATATTTTTGATGAACTACACGTTTATTGACATTACTGTAGCTTTTTCGACATTTCCTTTTTGAAGAAAGGTTGCATTCCCTATCATTAGATGTCAGCTGCGGATCAGGGGAGGGGGTGCCTCTTGGCCGACAAAAAAGGGGAAGAGAAAAGAATTGAATGCGAAAAAAGGTGAATTATGGATTCATTAGTTTCTTATTTTTATGTTTGGGGTTTATTTTACTTGTCAGAGAATTTTCGGACTTGTGACCATCCCCTCTCGCCAGAGAATCGTGGATTTGCCACCGTATGTGCATTTCAAAATGATCAATTGAGAGTTTTATTTGACAATGGGTAGTTTATGTCGAGATAATATAATAATAAAATGCACCATAGATCTAACATAAATAAATAAATAAATAAATTTATTGAAATCCAGGTTTAAAAGAAGATTTATTACAGGATATCACAAACTGGAATTCTGAAAATATACAAGATATTGGCACTTTATCAAACCGAACTTACGCTGAATTTTCAAGACCTCATCTCAATCAAATTAATTAAAACAGGCGGGTAATTGGCTCAGAAAGATAAGGAAATCAAAAAATAGTCTGTACCACATGTCAAACATTATAATAGATAAGAGTAATAGTTGATCGGTTGTCACACGAAGAGGGCAAACAGATCAACTATTACTCTTACTATACTACCACGATGATCAACCTCTTCCGCACTAATATAATAGATGTTCTATGCGTGTCGTGCTATTTGGTGAAGTTCAATCTAACAGGCCCGAATTCACAAAGGAGGTTTGTCGACAAACCTAGGTTTATGTGCGTCATATGACGCGTTTCGACGCGTTTCAGACGAAGGTTTGTACCGGGCCAAAATGTTTGTGTAACCGTGCTGTTCAAAACAATCCATGTACGGCACGATAAACAAAGCAAAATTACTTTTGGCATATTAAACTAAAATTTAAATTCATTATCACAACCTATGCTACAACCCACGTGATAACCCCTTTACGTTTAAGTCGAAATAAGTATATTGGAAATATAGATGAAATAGGGAATTTTGTTATGACTACATTTAAGTGATGTATAACAAAACAGGAAATTTGATAATCAACGACTCCATTCCATCAATAGCAATTTAACATACATGCCAGATGCTGAATTTACTATGCAAATGTGGTCAACTGGTATTCCTTTCTAAAGTTCTCATTGACCTTTTATGTATGAGATTATTAACATTTTTGAATATATTGCATGTTGCTAGTTGAAAAATATAATTATTTGTTAGTTGAAAGACTGCACGGGTTACTGTTTTTAAACCATTACTACTTGTGTCTTTAAATCACCGTCATTATTTTTGTGTAGTTATGTACAAACGCAATCTGTCTTTTAAACATCTATCAAGTTGCATAATAGTTCTCAAATCACCACTCGGCACCATCGTTTTGGTAGGCAGCTCTAGGCAGTCTCTCAGGTTGGGAACGCATTATTGTATCCGGTTGGAACCCACTGGAATCAAAGTTAGACATCAGAATCGCATTTCGGTTGCCTCTATGTCCCTTGAGCATGGCCGGGCTGTTCCTGTTAGTAGAATTAGTTTGGCCAGAGCTTGAAGTGAAGCCGCCGGACGCCGCAAAAGACTTCGACAAACAGCAACTGAATTGTGAGCGCCATATCCTGCGAACCTGAGGCTGGCGCACGCAGTACAACATGAAGATGAAGTACCCCTGCAGAGTGTTGAGGATAGTGAAGACTCTCTGGATGACCTCACTGGCCGGTTGGATGATGCTCAGGTAGCCCAGAGACCACGTTAGGCCCGTCAGGATCAGGATACACACCGCATTCTGGAAACGTCGAAGGCGCTGGCGCTTCTCCGTCTTATCAAGTTGTCTTACTTTGACGATTGTGTTCAGTCGTATAATGACACGAATGAAGATGATGATGTTGAAGATCATGATGAAACCAACTGGAATCAGGAGACCACCAATGAGAGGCCAGAATCGAAGGAAGCAACTACAAAAACAACAACGATGACAAATACATATTTATATTTCAATTCATGATATAATAAATTATCAATTATATTAATGATAAATTTATATGAAAGATTCGAATTGCAGTATGAAGATATTTTCCAATCAATTTCCTATGAACCGGAAACCAATATTCTTCATGATATTCCTAATAACAAGTGCAACCATCCGTTATTCTATTGAATTTACTTGACTTCATTATACTTGACATTATTACTATACTATAAATTCTGCCTACTACCAATTAAGATCATGCGTAAAACATCAGTGGAAATTTATGTAGATGAAACTGTAATGTATGTCTGTTATAACCCTTAAAATAGCATTGATTGAATTATTTCAATGCTGAATTTGTTTTGGGTTTCATTTACACCATATTGTTACCATTGCAGTTCAGTCTCCGGACTACGAAAAAGAAGGATATTCATTAAAATCATCAAAATATTCAGCCATTTTATGAAACGAATAAGTTAGACTTCAAACAACCTATTAAGATTTTTGGGGAGGGGATGCATAACACAGTTAACGTGTCACATATTTGGAGCCATGTTAAGATGATAGCAATAAACATATGCTTAAACAAATTGCGTGCAGTTATAAGGATATTTAGTGAGGGTAGTACGATAAAATAATATACCTATCGTACCCATAGCGGGAAGTCATTTAAAATATTGCTAAAGATACTCAAAAAGATAATCGGTCATTTGTGTCAAACTTTCGTCCAGTATTCATTCTTACGTGGTGTTTCTCGAAGATTTTTAGAAAGACTGAAGTATAACAGACTGTATGGCTTTCTAAAACAACATAATTTATTAACGAAAAACAGTTTAGTTTCAGAAAATTCTATTCCACCGATCTTGCTTCAGCACAGTTGTACGTTAGAGTGTCAAATGCGTTTGCTAATCGTAATCATGTATTATGATTATTTATGGACCGTAGCAAGGCATTTGCCATCCTTGACCATACGATTATTATATATTAAGTAAACTTCATAAATATGGTGTAAGAGGATTACGTATCCAGTGGTTTAATAATTATTTACAAAACATAAAGCAATCGGTATGGTATGAATATGTCGAATCTAATTTATTACCAATCTCATGTGGTGTCCCGCAAGGATCAATTATTGGTCCTTTGTTATTCTTAATTTATGTTGATGATATTTCAAACACATCTAACTTGTTACAATACATCCTATTTGCCGATGATACTTATGTGTTTTATTCTTATTCCAACTTTCATTCCCTTATTTATACCATGAATAATAAATTAACAAAATTATCTGCATTGTTTAAATGCAACAAATTATAATTACGTTTGAAAAAGACACATTTTATTATTTCCAGGATGTAAAATCTGATGAATCTACTTTAACAATTTTGGTCGATGGTGTTGTTATTTAAAAGACTGAAAATACTATTTCATGACATTTCTGAAATAGAATGATCACGTTACATATATTGTAGCAAGAATATCACGTAATGCAGGCATACTCTTTAAACTTCGCCTTTTGTTTCATTTTGTAATGTAATATGGGCAAACAATTATTATTGTTTGAAAAATGCAGAACTCAATAAATCAAATAAATGAAAACATTTCAAGTCAGCCAATGCTAATTAAAAAACTCGTTTGTAATGCATACACAGTTTTGAGGTAATTTAGAGGTTATACAAAACTGATATTTAACCATAAAGTGAGTGCAAAATGTTCTTAAATTAAAATGAGAGCAAAAGGAGCGTGAATGTTTGTTTCATACTGTTCCTGATTGATTTATCATTTACATTCTTGGATTAGAGATAAAACTTACAAATCTGTCTGCGCGTAGTACTGCCTCGCTGCTCCTACGGTGATTTCAACAATCACCATAGGGACTCCTAAATACAAGAAGAAAAAAATGGTTACTATATTATCATTATCATCATTATCGTCATTAGCATTATGGTGATGATTATCATCATCACCATCAATTCTTACAAGAAATAACGAAGGATAAACTAGACTTGTGGCCGGTGATAATTCTAGGTTTTATTCGACACATATTGCACATATTGAAAACAAATATCAAAATCTCTTTAAATTAGGCTGTAAAGCAAACTCTACTTGCTGAGCACGATCCTAAAGACTTTCGAGAAATCCACTCAAGGAAAGTTTCAATATCCTATTGTATATCCTTTAGAAATCTTGTTCAGTTCAGCATGTACACGTCATTGTAATGTACACACTTTTCAACAGGTGATTTTTTCGGAAGCCTTCTCGATCATGCTGGTAACACATTTCGGCAAAAAGGCTTCCAATCTACAGTCAAAAATCAGATAATTAATGGATGGTGGCTCACCCCATGCAACTAGTGAAGCCTTCCTCATAAATTGGGGTAGATACGTATTGAGAACTCGAACGAAGAGAATATGCATGTTGTAGCCCTCGACGCCTATCCAGAATAGAGATGACAGGGTAAAATAGTGGAGGAAGCCAGCTAGAATACTGCAAGGCAGAGGAGGAATTTCTTCCACACCTCGTTCTGTGTCAACAGATATCATGACCAGGAAGACGATGTAGAGACAGAGCAGGGAACTGGAGAGGGACAGAATGATCTGGTTGGGTTTCCGATCACGAAGTTTCCTAGAACAGAAGACAACACCATATTAATTATATATATATATATATATATATATATATATACTATAACCCTTTTTTACATAGGTAATGCTGTCTCTTTGTGTCGCACAAAATATTGACTCTTGGAACCACAGCAAATATGTCTTTTTGACATTTTTGGGAGTGTTTATTCAAAAATCTGCTTGGACGACGTACCCTTTAAAAGATTCCATGGTATTTCCTACGCCCAAATGTTGATCATATTACGTAGAAAACACGAATTGAAGGGCATCAAGTACAGACAACAAGAAAGGATTTTCATTATGGGACGGTGTTTATATGTAATTTAAAACAAAATCGTGACACAGCTGCTCTTCACATTTTTTTGATATAGTAGCATTTTTCAATGATCAAAATTACGTTTACGGGCAAGTCCAAGTACTTTTAACCTACGTTTACCGAGCACATCTGAGATTTTTGTATAACTGGTTACTGTATTAAATTGTCTGCTCATCTTTAGGTTTCTGAGACCAAAGATGAAGTAAGTTGCTACTTTGGTTTCAATTTATGCTTAAGATTTCATACCAATTGGTAACGTGTTGGACATCACAAGATTAGTTACCTTATACTTGCCCATATGCATATTATCCCTGATTATAGAAATGATACTCACTTATTTAAAGCATATGTGAGGATTGTGATGACAAGGCCTAATATTGACATACAGCAACCAACATAACTTATGATCTCCAGAATGAAATCTGCCTGTGGCGACAATCCTTCTAATCCATAGATATCCTGTAAATTGTTAAAGATATATATATATATATATTCAAACGGGACGTCAGCCAATTCTACTAAAATTCATCTCAACATCATGCCTCGATGAGATATGACGCAGCAATCTTCGGTGGATTTGTTCTTGTTTTGTTGGGGGGGGGGGAGGTTGACGTATTAATGTGCAATACACTTTACATTTATGTAGCTTATAACACAGAGCTCAGTGAATACGCGAAGGAACTGCGCGTTGTTGCGTCCAGTTTCAATTTATTTCACGTAATAAAAAAGGCGCCTCTTATCTGCAGGTACGAAGCCACGGGGGGGGGGGCGGGCACGGGGGGCACGGGGGCACGGGGTGCACGGGGGGGGGGCACGTGCCCCCCCTAAAATTTCTTGATCGGTTGAACTTTTTCAGACCCCTTTTTTGACCTCGATCGAGTACATGTATGTGCCCACCCCCCCCCCCCCCACCACCCAATATCAAACTCTGGCTACGTGCCTGCTTATCTGACAGAGATTTTTTTGTCAACCATGTGAAGACCAAGGTTTTAGGAGCTGGTATTCATGGAAGGAAGATGAAGCTTGGGCATTAAAGCTAGAAGGGTCTTGCAAGAAAATTAAGAACGTTTACGGTCTTATATTTCATACATGTTCCGTCTTGTTAATACGTAGGTGGCGTTTACGGTGCATTAAACTTGAAATTATTCTGGGGCATATTGTCTGTCGTATCCTGATGTAGAAAAAAAAATTGTGTGCTTTGAAGCCGAATTAATATGTTCAGAACATCGGAACGGGGAGGGGCATGCCTTAACGTAAGTCCTGCTTTTCTAGTTCCCTCATACATTCTATAAATGGGGTTTGTTTAATATGGTATGCAATGCAAATAACTAGCAATTAACAATCAATTGTACACAATTCACAAACTAATCTAATAAAAAACAACACTTTGATATCATGAATATGGAAAAGAATGACTGAGATGAAGATGTTTAGCTTCCCTGTGCCATTGCTGTAACTTTTCCACAGACGTTACACGCAAATCTCATGCAAAGTACGTAACAGACAAAGGTGATACAAACCATGAGAATGCCGAAGTTGGTAAGGTGATTGCACTCGCAAGTAATTCTGTCTATGCTGCCATTACTTGTTTTCTCACACCCTCGCGTGGACCATTGATTATTATCAAAGTCATAAGAGACACACGTGGCATTTGTCCCATTCTTGAAATGAAAATAAAATATTACAATTATCAGGGCTGGGTAATATATATAAATATCTCAAATAAAAAAGAAGACCATTTCTGCCACTGGAAAATATCTGATTCAGGAGTTACGTAATGTACATTGCATAATACACTGTTAGAAAAAATTAAACTAGTTGTTTAAAATTTTAAACAACCCCGAGTTAACCGGTGAATCGCTCAACTGTTGTTTAAAAATTAAACAAATTAAGGTTGTTTACATTTTGAACACTACTGTCTTAGTTGTTTAAAAATTAGGAAACCTTTTAAACAACAGTTGTTTAGTAATAAAATTGCACAACTCGGTTGTTTAAAGCAAGTTGTTTAAATTTTAAACAATAATGTTTAAATTACTAAGCAACTGTTGTTTATTCAGTATTACTGCATAACTAGGTTGTTTAAAAGGAGTTGCTTGAATTTTAAACAGAACTGTTTAATGGTTATTATCTGGTTGTTTGAATTTGTGAAATTACCTACTGGAACCACTCCTGCAATAATCACAACGAGTTATACACTGTAACATGCAGAGCTCGTTGCCAATTTACTTCAACATTTGTTCATCATATTCATGGCAGTGACAGACAACATTATTATTTGTCTCTATAACTTCACCTAAACCCCATCGGCGAAGCCGAGAAGAACCAAGTCGTCGCCTTGCCCCGTGTTCCGCCATTTTCGTCTGCACTGCACTGCACACTAGCACTGCATGCTTGCATGCATGTATTATGTACGTACTTTGTGCATGTTGCATGTGTGTGCGCGAATTGCAATCGCGTATCGAGAAAATATCAACGACGCCCCCGGGACTTTTTAAACAACTCTGTTTAGTTAAATCTTTTTTTTTTTTTAAATAGATAGTTGTTTAAGCCAATCGAGCACTTATTTTTCGATTTTGAACAACGTTGTTTACTTTTTTAAACAACATTCTTTTAAACAGTGATATTTTAAACACCGTTCTAACAGTGTACTGTCTTGTGAAACGTGCAAATTTCAACCCCATTACTATACAATTACTCCGAACTGCTATGTCACTAAACACATCATCCTCTAATCCTTATTTGTGTGTCGATATGTAATCATTTTGTATATTTGCGAAATTCTTATCAGATGAAAGAGGTTAATTTACATTGAATCACTGCCACATTTCTCATCATTGTGCCCCCCGCATACGAACAAACATACGCACACGCATCCACACCTCTATGTGTGTCTCTCTCCCTCCTTCTTTCTTTCTCTCTCTCTATCTCTATCTTTTCGTATATTTTTGTTTCTCAACTTGTTTTTTTATGTTATTGAAATCACCAGCAAAATTTTAGTTGAGCAAGCGCCATGTTTCGAATAATAATCAAAAATAACAATAGTTGGTACTTATAAAGCGGAAAAGTATGTCGCATTTGACGTTCATGGCGCTTCAATTAATAGTTATTTAGTATTAGGATGCACTCACCGGATTGATAGGAGTAAATGCAATCATCACGGTTTCCTCCAAGTCTTCGATTGCTTCGTTATTGATCGACGCCGCTATGATCCTCGAATTCAACTCTCGCGTGAATCCCGTCTGGTTTCGATTCCGATTCAACTCCGTTAGTCCATTGTCCCTGAAGAGAGCCGTGTCCAAATGTGTTGTGATGACCAGCCGGCCCGTCACCCCGGAGAACCTATCCGCTAAGACCGATGGAATGAAGAGGGTCGCCTGGGCTTCAAGCGCCCCTGGCTCTTGTGTCAGATCGCCTTCTGCCACCTGAAAATGATCTTCTGAAATGCTTTCTCCATCGGACGTAGCAGACACAAAAACGGTTATACCCTGGCTGATTTCATCCATAGTCACATCAAGTACCTGAAACGCAAAACAATAATATGATATTGGATATGTATATAGTGTTCATATCCGTCAAGCCAGACGCTTAAGGCGCTTAAATATTACTCCGGCTTTAGCCAGGGTACCGCTTTCGTGCTCACAACATTCAATGAATTCCTTTCTACCTATAACCCTTTTAAAACCTTATGTGAGTGGCAACTGTGGATACATGTTTAGCCAAAGGAGTGTCGTCCCGGGGCTCGAATCCAGGACCTTCGCAACTCCAGTCAAGTGTTTAAAAAAACATAAATCGATTATGACACCTCATGTTGTTTATGCTTGAGACAAAAACATGTATATATCTATTGTGAGTTGGTTTAGAACTCAATGGATAACTCTAAAGGGGCAGCTTGTCTAATCTATAAAAATATATTGGTAGTTTTAAGGTGAAATGATGTAGTCATAGACTATGACTCACAGTCTTTTACCATTTTAACGAATACTTTGGATGAGGTAAATAATTTTTTTTTTAAATAGTTATACGTCTTCAATAAAGTGATTACTTTGTTTTTATTGTCAAAATGATGATAACTGCGTAAACAGTATGATTGACATAAAAACAAAAATAAAAAGTTATGAATATACAAGTAGAATACGGTATATTATATGATTTCACTATAGACATTTTGAATTTGAATTTGAATTTGAATTTATTAACAACAACACATCACAATAATGACAGTACATAATATGAACAATCATACAATGCAAAAAATAATACTGATACATGTATACATAACATAAGAGTAATGTCGATTGAACAGTAATGGTTTTAAAACGATATTTTTTTAGACATACATCTGCATACTATTAAATGTACAAAAGATATATACATAAATATGAATATTACTGTGTTTAGGTGAAGTTGTTAATGGGAACTAGAAGTTAGCACAAGTGCTAGTCGAGCCTAGTTCCATTCTTTGGCAAAAAAAAAATTTCTGTTAATTTGTTTTTACATATGAATGTAAAACTTGTTTGTTTTGTATTTACATATATACAACAAAATAATACAATATCATGTAACTTTTTTTCTTAACTAAAATGAAAAAATAAAATAAAAAAAGCTTAAGCGTTAAAGCATTATAATGAAAGAAGACAAATCTTTGAAGAAATAAAATCATTAATGTGTTCATAAAAATGAAAAGGATGTATTAATAAAAATAATCATACACATGTACGTACATGCACAAATCCTGTAAAAGCTTAAGGCCGCTATAATCGTTAACAAGGAAGTGTATACATATATAAAAGGAAGACAAGTAATATAAAAGGAAAATACGAAGGGGGATGGGATTGAGCCCACGTCATTTACATAGAAGGTAGGTGGAAAGATGTCTCCGAAAAGATAACCTTGATGCTTTGAGTCTAATTTCATCTGGCAGATCATTCCACAGCTTTGTTCCTACAAACGAAATACAAAATTGCCCCCGCGTTGTCTTACATTTTGGTTGATAAAGTAAGCCATTTTCTTTTCTCCTAGTTGCATATCTGTGCTGTATCATCTGACAATAATCCACTAAAGAGTGTGGTAAAAAACCTTTTACCAAATCGTACAAAAATGTTGATACAAGAAGTTCATGAAGTTGAAAAATATTTAAAATGTTTAGACTTTGAAAAAGAGCTTTGGAGTCTGTTCTAAGTGGACTGAATGTAATTGCTCTCATTGCCATTTTTTACTTATATATATATACAATTTAATTACTTTTGTAAGTGCTCCCCCATACTTCTACTCCATAAGAGAGGTGAGTCTGTATAAAAGCCTTATATAATAACACAAGTATATTCTTGGGAACAAAATGTCTCAGTTTAAACAGAATACCTACTTTCGTTCGTATGCATTTGTTTATTGTCTGAATATGTTCTTTCCATGAAAGGTGACAATCAATTTCAATTCCTACAAATGATGCAACAGATACCTCTTTAATATCTGATCTTGATATTCTCACATATCCCTTTTTGTCTATTGATCTACCTTTGGATTTCATAATCATATAGTTTGTTTTATGTAGGTTAATTGTGACTTCATTTGCATTACACCATTCCTGCACCTTCATTAAATTTTCACTTACAATTTCTAAATCAATTTCTTTTTGTCTAGGATTAAAAGTATGAAAAAGATTTGAGTCATCAGCAAATAATCTGAAATTGAAAAAGTTTGTGGAGTTAGGTAAGTCATTTATACATAGTAAAAATAATGTTGGTCCAAGAACGGAGCCTTGAGGGACACCACATGGTATATTCAATTTCAAAGATATTTTGTCTTTATATTGTATAAACTGTGATCGTTTACACAAATAATCTTCAAACCATTGCAAGGCTAACCCACGTATTCCATAGTGTGACATTTTTTTGAGGAGAATGCTGTGGTTTATAGTATCAAATGCCTTTTGAAAGTCAATAAAGATGCCAGCTGTTGTTCTACCTTCATCAAAGTATTTCAATAGTGTATTTGCAAGATTAATCAAAGATAACTTAGTGCTATGTTTCTTACGGAAACCATACTGATGTTGAAACACGATATTATTTGCTTCCAAATAGTCAATTACACGATTATTTATTATTTTCTCAAAGATTTTACCCAGTATAGTTAAAACATGTCTTTTTGTTGCTTACCTCTGCGGCAATATTGGGCTCTACGATCCGAAGAGTTTCATGTATAACCTCAACTACAGCGAGTTGTGCCTCAAGGGATATAACCACACGGCTTGGAGCACCACTCTCGTCTTCAGCCATTTCTAGCTCTTCTTCTGGTAGATCCGCAATGTTACTTGCAATATCCACAATAGACTCAGTCACCTGTTTTTAAAGGATCAATTTTTGTTTATTTTCTGCTATTTCAACTGCATATTTATATTAGTACAGCTACCTATATTAACAACAATAGCAATAATAGCTATGATAATAATATACATTTATATAGCGCATCACATTAATATTTCAATGTACTTTTAATATAACTCGTACGGATATGATACGGTAAACTTTTTTTTCTCGTTTTTTATACAAATAATACATGTTTGCGAGTGCATTAATGAATACCTTCTGCGCGCAGGTTAAGTCACATATTTCATTGTCCGTCTCACTGTGACTTAACCAAGTACAGTGCACATCACTTATACACGAGCTAAAAACATGTATCATTTGTTTTATAAGATTGTTCAACAATATGATAAAGTCGATAAATTGACGGGTGTTTTCACCGAAATGCACTGTCCGTGCATATTAATAACATCAATGCACGCGCAAGTGATCCATTTCGACGCTTCTCATTGGTTTCATTCTTGAACCCATTGTATAAATCGCGTAAATGTCTAGTAACTGCGCGCATCAAAGGTTCTACACGCATATTAACTGAGCTTTGTACTTGTATTTTGCTCTACCTAAGTTATTTAAAGATAAAGTTGAGTTCTGGTCATGCGATTGCATTGTGACAAAAACGGTGTGGAATCGATTAGAAAAGGTTGATCATCTAGCATATAAGTATTCGTTTGTATTGGAATCATCAAAATGATATGAAATTGGGCCAAGTCTTGGTAAAGTTACAAGCACTGTTTTAGGATGTATATGGGACTACACGAACACATGGCGTAAACATCCGTCCCAATTTGTACGATGTTACATGCCATATTTAGAATCTAAAGGCATTTGGAGAGACATTTCAGGAAACATGTTTTTATCTGATGTCCTTCCACCCTTGCATAAAAACAATGATAACGCTCACAAATTATTGTTCACCTCTTCCCAGAACTCAACTATCTCTTGAAGTTGCTGTGCTACGTAACTTAGTTCACTATATGCATACGGTGTAGCTGTAATGTCATCAGCCTCTTTTTGTTAATGTTTTCCTGACACAGCATGAAATTGAAGAAACATTACAGCTTTCTTAACAGAGGATAAAAAAAAACATTCATCTAAATATGTTAGTCATGGACGTAAAATGGATTATCCAATACTCACCTGTACATCAGTAGAAACTATTTCTGTGATATCTTCGAGGATATCTGCCACAATCTCCAGACCTTCCGTAGAGATAGTTTCAGTCATGGTTGATATTTCTGCCACTTCTTCAACTATCATTTCTGCATTTTCCGCTGTGACTTCGTCCTGCCGAAATCAGAGGCAATCAGTTAAATAACAACAGTGATGATGATAACAAACTTTGCTTGTATATCACTATATAATGAAATTTGGCAATGTGCTTCTAAAATTGAGATGAAACTATATTTAATAATGGATAATGGATATTCTGATATTCGAATTAATATAATATACACGAGTAATGATGATATTGATGCATTCCAGGACTACTCTGCTCTTATTTATAGTTTCAGTTTATTGGAATCTTATCTCTCTTTTTTAATATTGTAAATTGTTTTTATAAATTTCTAATGCCAATATGTATACTGTAATATGTTTTATGATGATTTCTTTCTTACGTTGCTCTACTATTTCCACTATTCTATGTGTAAAAAGTGTGTTTACTCGACACCATGACGGAATCTCGTGATGTCTAATAATACAAACATCTTTGGAGAATCTACATATTTCACAGTTGGAAAATTTAATGAATGTATTTCAGCATTTGATTGTAAAACAAATATATCAATTATACACCTAAATTGTCGTAGTTTAACGAAGAATTTTGACAATCTATCTCTATATTTAAATGGTTTTGATAGACAATTTAGTATTATTGCTTTATCGGAAACATGGTTGAAAAAATCACATCCTAATCTATGTCAACTCAATAATTACTCTTTTATCAGTCAGGAAAGAGAAAATAGACGCGGTGGTGGCGTTGGTTTTTTTATCTTGAATAATCTAAATTACAGTATAATGCATAATCTCAATATAAACAATGAATATTGTGAAGCTATATTTTTGAAAATCAATGAGAATGTTATTATCGGCTGTGTATATAGACCACCTGGTCAACCAATTAATGATTTTTTGAATATTTTACAAAATACTCTCCAACATATTCCACGTTCCATGTCATGTTATTTCTTTGGAGACTATAATATAAATCTTTTATCGTCTGAGGGCAATCTTTTCAATAATGAATTCATAGATATGTTTTGTTCTTTTTCATTTTACCCAGTTATTGATAAGCCCACCCGCATAACGAAAGATTCTGCTACATTAATTGACAACATGTTTACAAATAAGCCTGATACGGTCAGGGAAAGTGGTATTCTCTTTGGAGACATTAGTGATCATTTGCCCATATTTAGCGTTATTTCACCAAGTTGTATATTTTCTAACTCTGACAATGTAAACAGTTTTAAACGTGTAGTCAATGATTATAATATTGCAATATTTTGTAGACATTTAAGGGATTTTGACTGGAATCTTCGTGTGACAAATGTAAATGACATGTTTAAAGACTTTGTGGATATTTTTCTAGATATATACGACAAGTGTTTCCCTCTCAAAAAATCAAAAAATATGAACAATCGGAAGAACAAGGCTTGGTTCACAAAAGAACTAAAAAAAATGTGTAAAAAAAGACAAACTTTATACAAAAAATTTATATCACGCCGAACAGTAATTGATGAAAGAATTTACAAGTCATTCCGTAACAAATGCACAAAGGCAATACAAAAAACAAAACAACGATATTTTCAATCCAAATTTTGTGCCGTTACAGGGAATTCCAAGGCTACTTGGAAAGAAATTAATACGGTTTTAAATAGAACTAAAATTAAAAAAAATATCCCTTCCAAAATTGTAAATGACAATAATGACATATCTCACCCAAGGGAAATGGCTAACGAATTTAATAAATATTTCATTTCGATAGGCCCCAATTTACAAAAGAAACTGGATGATCCCCATGATACATGTAATAAACATTTCTCCAAATATCTTTCAAATCCTTGTTCTTCTTCAATATTTTTTCAACCGATTGTTGAAAGTGAAATTATATCCATTGTTGACAAATTTAAAAATGATACTTCTTCTGGTTTCGACCACATAGATGTAAAAGTAGTTAAGAAAGTAATACCGTTTATTTGTAAACCATTGAGTCAAATTTTTAACATGTCAATGTCGACAGGTCTTGTTCCAGATAATCTCAAAGTAGCTAAAGTTATACCAGTTTTTAAATCGGGGTCAAAAGAATGTATGTCGAATTATAGACCAATTTCTGTACTTACTGTTTTCTCAAAAATAATCGAAAAATGTGTTTTCAGTAGAATTTCCAATTTTTTATCTTCCAACAACTTATTAAATAGCACTCAATATGGATTTAGAGAGGGTCTGTCAACATCATTAGCAATTACAAAATTCACTCAAGATATTACAAATTCCATTGAAATTAAAAAAACAACAGTCGGTGTATTTTTAGATATGTCAAAAGCATTTGATACAATAGACCATAATATTTTAATGCACAAATTATATCATATTGGCATACGAGGTGTTCCCCATAAATGGATTGAAAATTATCTTAGCAATAGAAAACAATATGTTACAATTAATTCTACAGACTCAAATATGCTCAATGTTGTTTGCGGGGTTCCACAGGGTTCTATCCTCGGCCCATTATTATTTCTAATTTACATAAATGATATTCAGTGTTCATCAAATGTCCTAAGTTTTATACAGTTTGCCGACGATACAAGTATTTTTTTTACCCATAAAGATATTCCCCTTATTAATACCACGTTTAATAAAGAATTACAAAATGTATATCAGTGGTTAAAATGTAATAAGTTAATTATAAATATGTCTAAAACTAACTATATGGTTTTTAGCAATATGAATTATAATATTGATGATATAAGAATCCATATGGACAAATCCCAACTATTACATACAAATCATACCAAATTTTTAGGTGTTCATATAGATGAATCCATGTCTTGGAAATATCATTTAGGAGATGTTTGTTCTAAAATTTCTCAAGTTGTTGGTATCCTATATCGCCTGCGCAATTTATTACCCGAAAAAATTCTTCTTACTATTTACAATACCCTTTTCCTACCCCACATATCATACTGTAATATAAATTGGGGTGGCTGTCCTAAGTCATATTCTGATAGAGTCTTTAAACTACAAAAAAAAGCCATTCGCCTGATATCAAAATCCTCGTATAACTCTCATTCTGCTCCGCTATTTCATAAGCTCAATGTATTAAGCCTATCCGATATTTGTAAGCTACAAACTGGTATGTTCATGTATAAATGTAAAAATCGCTTATTCCCTCGTTATATTACTGATCTATTTCCTATAAATGCAAGTATTCACTCTTATCAAACTCGGTCTTCTAATGATTTTCATTTCCCCAAAATACGTACATCCTATGCAAAATCTACTTTATTTTTTACCGGCCCAAAACTGTGGAGTTCTTTACCAAATGAAATAAAAAACTCAGTGTCACTCCAATCTTTCAAACGCAAACTAAAAAAACACTTGATAAATTCATACCGTAATCAACTACAACGTTAGTAGAGCTTCTTAACCCGTCCTTTCTTTCTTTATATACAAATTTACTTTGCTTTTTTTTTTTTTTTTTGTTTAACGCAATTATTCAATTGTTATTTAATGTATTAAGATTATATTTAATTGATCATGATGGGTGCCAACGCACTTAAGACTATTTTCCTGTCTTCCAGTTGGCTCCCTCCGCAATAATAACATGTTCTATATCATTACACTTTAATCAATCACTTATGCTCTTTATCAATGTTACTGTAAATGTTCACATTTTGTTTTGGTATTTGTTGTTGTTATTGTATATACATGTATATATCTGTTATATGTAATGTACATCTTTGTACTTTTATTATTGTGGAAAATAAATGAACTGAACTGAACTGAACTGAAAGAAAAATGAGATCAGATCAGAGTTTCTTCCAATGCGTGATCATTACATGGCGCTTTAACTTTAAGGTGTACCCGCGAAGACTTTAAATATGGTTAAGATAACGAAACGCTCTTCCTGCTCTCGCTTTGCTGGTACAACATGACATGTACAATACGACATGACAACATAATGTGGAGAATATTTAGCACATGATTTTGTTTAGGGAGGTCTGGTTAATCGCCACAGCTGTTAACACTAAAAAGCGCCAATTTCATTTTCATTTCATGCAAGGCTTTACCCCTTCGATGTCGGGGAACACCTGGTCGATTTGTCCGTAATGATAATAATAGTGAGAGTGAAGTTTTGTATAGCGCTCATGTCTGATAAACTGCCGCTCATTGGTGCTCCATCATTATTAACTTGGCTTTAGCCATTACAGCGCTTGAGCATTTCAAAGAATTTATTCTACCGGGTTTCGTGGGTGAGGTGTGCCAAATGCAGATTAATGTCTTGCCATGGGATATTAGTGCTACGACAGGGATTCGAACTCCAAAACCTTTGTTTCACAGTCCAGAGACTTACCCACTGGACCACAACACCTCCACCATTTGATATTGCACTAACAACATCTTTCTCTTTCACCTTTAATATTCTGGCAAAGAATCATAGCTAGGTTGCGTTTCTGACAGGAATAGATCGTAACGAACCTCTTGTATGATCTTGAAAAGTTCATCAGCAGTCAGGTTTCTTCCACAGTTCATCTGGGGTAACCAAACACAAGGGCGAATGGTGTCACCAACACAAATGGCTTCTATTCGATGGTCCCCTGTGGAAACATAAAAGTTTCTTATTTATGATCCATGCTTTAGCGATAGCAATTTGTGTTATTTACAGGCGATGATTTACATAAATAGGAAAATACACATTTAAACAAAAACGATCCATTCAATTATCCTATTTTTAGTTAAGAAGGTTATTAACTTTACATTCCTCAATAAACTGTGTAAAGTTTCCTACTATCTGGTAGCAAATGTGAACCGGTCAACTACAACCTTTTACAATATAGCCATTCTTTCACAAGCAAACAAAATACAAGAACATGAACTATCAGTTAATGAACATGACTTACGATTGACGGTATAATCAGGGCATTTTTTATCGGTTGAGTTAGCTCTGCTGTTTATGACACCCCTATCAAACATTGCCACATAGCCATATGCTGTCACAACGGTCC